AAAAAAAAAAAAAAAAAGAAAAAAAAACCCAACCCCCCCCCCCCCCCCCCCCCGCCTTGAATTTACAGGGGGCCGTGTCGAGCTTCGTACTTTGCAAGGACGTTCTTGCATTTGCCCAGCTCTTTCCGTAGGTCGGCCACCTCCTGGCGGAGAGCCGAGTTCTCCTTCTCCAGAAAGGAGGCGCGGATGGCGATCTGGTTCTCCTTCAGCCGGCGGGCATCCCTCGATCGCTTGGCAGCCATGTTGTTCTTTCTGCGCCTGGCCCAGTACTTGTCATCCTGCTCATTAAACACAGACAGAGACGAACAGGACATTACATTTCAGCAAACGGAGCAGCCACAGCCTCCGGCCTGGGGATGGCTTCACTCCACACGCTCTCCTGCCTGGCCCGGCGAGCCCTGACAGTGCCAGGCACTGCTGGGACCAAAGCTGCGGATTTACACGGCACAACCCACCCAGGGAGCGCAGGCGCCTGCCCGTGTTTCTGTCAAAATGTTGACGCTAACCCCCTCAGCCTCCTGACCGTGAATCCCTCCAAGAACAACCGAAGCAGCACTCCAGCGGTACAACTCGCCTCACATCTGCGCTGACCTAGTCAGACACCCACCTTGCACGGGATGACTCACTCCCTACCGGTTGCTGGAGCAGCACTCATCACCTCTCGGATGTCCCTGCTCGTCTTTGCCAGCCAACCCCTGGTTCCCTGTTTGCTGGTATCAGCCACGTCTTACTACTGCCTGTTCAGCTTTTTTTCTGTTCAAAGCTCTTTCTCTACAGAGCCCCAAAGTGTTCCTCTTTGCACCCTACAACAGCCAGTCACTGGAAGAGGATTCCTTGGCACAACGACGGTGGCTGCTTTGGTACCATCCGCAAAGAGATTAGTACAATAGGCTTTGATTGGGGAAAAAAAAGCATTTGCCAGAAATAGTGCCACTAACCTCTGAAGTTTCGTAAGCTAACACATCCCCAAAGCGTTATCCCTAAAGACTTGCCTCTCGATCACCCTACTGCATTGGCGCATCAAAGGCTCTAAGTAACTGCTTCATTCTGCCCGACTCTTCTGCTCTCCCAGTGAAGCGGCCTTCAGTGAAACGGCAGCTTCAATGATGCTTTGAAACTGAACTAAGTTCAAGAAATTTGGAACAACTCAATAAGTACAAAGCGGGCAGAATCTCTCATGAAAAGTGAAATTCATTCCCCTGCAGAATAAGAGCGATGCAGCCATTCAACCCTCAAATTGCCTGGTCAAGTCATACAGCTCAAACCTCCCCGCCCAGAGTCATCCCTCCGTTTTACAGGCCTACCTTGGCTTGCGTGGCCCTTCTTTCACCCAGCACGGTGGCACAGCACCCTATCTACCACCAGGCACAGGAGCCATCTGCTCCTACGTCGCACTGAAGAGACAAATACCCCACCACTGCCCCGTCTTTCAGCACGAGGCATGCCAGGCCTAATACTGCTGCTCTGCATCTTCTCCTGCTGCTTCCGAAAGGCAAAGCAAGAGCAAAACGCCTGCTAGAAGTACTCTAGAACTGCTCTGTATTAATTCAGCTTAACAAGGTGTGTAGCGATGTTGACTCGGAGCCAGCGTACCTCTAAATTCTCTTCACCTGTACTTAGATGGGACCTTCAAAAATCGTCGTAAAAAAAAAAAGCATGCAGCAAAAGGCTATGACCCAAATCTTGTTTATAATTTCCCATCTCATTCCACTCCATAAAAATCAGCTTTAAGCAATTTATTAGTGTGCCACCTAGGCTTCATCCCTCTTTATTTTAACAAATTGCTATGGCAAATCCCTTAATCCAGGCCTGAAAGAGGTAAGGCTGGCATTTCAAAATCACATGCAACCCGGAGACGATTGACTGGTCTAATCTTCTTACCCTCCCCCAGAACTCCACAGCCACTCCACATGCCAGGGCAGAAGCAGCACTTGGGTCAAGCACTCTGAAATGAGTCAAGGGCAACTGATGTGATTATCTCAGGGAAATGAGAGACCCTGAAACTTCTAGTTCAGTCTTAGGCTGAAAATTTACGTGCCCCACTGCTGCATGTGGTCCAACAGCATCTTTGGCAAAAGTCTGCTTTGACGAATAAGGACACCAAGGATGTATCACCAAACGGCACTGTGGAGCAAACCCCCCTCTCCTCACACCCCCGTAGCCATTTCGGTATCGAACACCTCTCTCCAGGCACACCTCTTGGCACACTGCAACGCCAGCTGAGCACCCCCGGTAGTAAAATCTGCCCAGGTCAGCGATGGCGCGGTGCAGATCAACCCCCTTCGAAACGAAAGCCGAGGATACTACGACAAAGTGACAGCAACACACCACCTGAACACTACTGGAATTGTGATTGCTGTGCTTTTAACTTGCACAACAGTGTCCTTAGGGATAAAAGCAGCGAAGGGCACCAGCTTCTTACCTAATCCTGTCAATCTGGTGTAAACACATGGCAGCCCAGCCTCCCTGCACGCACAGCCAGGGGTTCCCACCGACTCCAACAGGCTGTCGGTCTGTGTCTTGGGGGGCAGCAGCAACAGCAGAATGAAACTCTGCACTGACTACCTCTGACAAAAAAGATCCTCTTGGAAATTACATACTGGGAATAGAACTTTGCAAATAACGACAATTTTCACAGTTGTTTGACAAGCTGAATCAGTTGATCGACTTGTTCTGCTCCCTTCAAGCTCTTTGCTATTCACATCTCAGAAGCGGTGAGAGACGTAGACAAAGGTGCCCTTTATTTGTAAATATTGTATTATTATCATAAAATATTTAAAATATTGTATTAAAATAGACTTCTTGGCAGAAAAATTTTGTTCTGTTTTCCTACAACTAGTTTAGATTCTTTCACCGGGATCAGCAATGTTTACTACAGTGTTCCCGTTCGTTATTAAACACAGAGCTGAAGCAACTTCCAAACAAGACACAACATAACTTCATTCTGCCATTATCAGGGACCTCCACTGACCCTGCAAGAGACGGACTCTTCCTTGAAGAATTCACAATCTATGCTGATGAGACAGATGCAGGATAGAGGAAAAGGAAACACAATCAGACTGTTTCATAAGGGGGAAATATGGGACAAAGTAAGCTTGTCCAAGGTCATGCAGGAAGCTTCTGGCATACAAAGGAAATTAATATTGATCTCATGAATTTCAACTGTTGTGTAACTAGCAAGGGACATCCTCCCCTCGGTCTTATACAGAACCGTTAGTGGTCTTATTCTACAACAAAGTCATACTTAGTTTGGCAGATTGACCTTACGTGAGAAACCAGATTCATGCTCCAAAATCCCTATCGCAGAGAGTAACTGTCACGGAGTCTGTACAAATAACCTCGGCACCAGTTCCAATTTACCTTCAGGTCATCGGGAATGAAGACTTTGCGAGCTTTCTTAATCATCGGCTGCGGTTTCAGCTCTTCTTCAGAGAATTTGCGCTTACGAGGGTCAAACATCTCCTGGCCAGGAATACTGGAAAGAGCAAGATCTGCAGGGTCAGGTTCATAGCCAACAGGAACTTGGATAGTCTCAGGATCAATGGGACTCGGTGTGTTTCGGTTTGCTGGCAAGATCTGGCCTACAGAAATAGAGGACAAATTCAGCTGTTAGAAGAAAATACATAAATAATATCACTGAATATGGATTTTAGAAGTTCTCTAAATACTTTACAAGCAATAATTCTTTAAGCCTTCACTGTAAATTCGGTATCTACCCCTGCTAAATATTAGATTGTCCCTTCTGTAGGGTGCCTATTCAGATCCAGACATGCTCATGCCGTTATTTGCAGAACTGGTTCCTAATTCTGGTTGCTGACTTATGCCCACGTAAGATCACTGAATCCAATACTGAGTTGCACTAGACCGCAGGCAGAAGACATGCTCCTCCAACCCATGCCACTCCCTTAAGATCACATCCTCAGGAACAAATCATACGTACTCTCATTTAGCTCCGACTTATCCACCACCCTGTAATCCTTCCCACCTTCTTCATATACAGATTTTTTTCACAATAGACAGTATTGCAAGAAAATGTATTTCCAAGCTGTGCTGAAGCACTCCACTAAGAAGGCTGCTGTTTTCTATGAAAACCTACTGGTGATAGACAGTGAAGGAAACTAGCAACACCAAAGGCTACGACAGCTACTTAAAGATGCTCTGCAAAAATGAAAGAACGTGTATTTACGCCACACTGCTCTTTTATGGTATATAAAACCTAATAAAAAGGAGCCTGTCCCCAGAACAGAATGATATCCCCCCCACCCCGTTTTTCTTTTTTAATCTTAGATACAGCTCTGCAGATCCTACAGCACCAATTCAGGCACTATTCCCACTAAAAATCCAATTTAAAATCTCAACCAAAGATTCCAAAAATAGGATCTTAAAGTCAGTCAGCTGCCTAAACACGGACTATCCCCGGGGGCAGAATTTTCAGAAGTTTTCACATGCCTCAGAAGTACCAGCCTCACGACTTCAGAGGGAGGACTTCTGATTGAAGCAGATATTCTTTTATAATTTTGGCTATTAGCTAATCGTCTTTAGAGATACGATGGCTTTCATAAGAACTACACAAACATCCTGTGACTGCATAATATTTCCTTTTTTGTGCCCGCATCTGCAATATTTAGGGTATAAAATGGTAAATGTTAAATGTCATTTCTAATTCCAAACCAAGGCCAGTGTTAACAATGCCATTTTTATTTTAATCTAGACGATCACGGCAACAATATTGGAACTACAAAGAAAACGCACTGGGGAATTGCATTGGGCCAACCAGGGTTTGCTAACAGCCAGCTTGTCTTTGGTAACTCCTATTTTAAAACAGCGCTGATAAAATCAGCTTCCAGGAAAGGCTGGTAAGGCCCCGGGAGAAGAGAAAAGGAGGATCAAAGTTATTAAAATACATACACGTCTGCAGGAGAGGCAGCGGGAGGAGAGGATCCCGCGACCCGCTGCACCCACAG